CCGCTTTTGATTGGTTAATCTGGATCTTGAATCTCGAGATTCGAATTTCGAATCTCGTATTTAAACCTGAATCTCGAATGAGCCTTTTGGGAGCTTTTGTTTGTTAATCTGGATCTTGAATCTCGAAACTTGAATTTCGAATCTCGAATTTTGAATCTCGTATTTCGAACCTTGAATCTCGAATTAACCTTCTGGAAAGGCGATAAATTCGTAATAAATATTAACGAAATTAACATCCATGAAGAGAGTAAGGCGATACAATACATATAAGCATTGAATTCTTATTTGTAATGTATATTCGGTACTATAACACACGGTTATTGGATAGAGGGGTAGACCTATATGTGCTTATCATAGGACTGACGACATCCAAAAATAAGAACTCAATGCTTAAAAATCCCCTCTTGTCCCCCTGTCAGTCCCTGACATTTTCCTGTCTCTCCCTGACTTTCTGCAGGTCCCCTAAAATTGTCCCTGCTCTACTTTTGCAGTCCCTGTGTCCCCATGTCGTTGTCCCTGTCTTCCCTGTCTACTCCCTGTCGTCCTCAGCTAGGAACTCCCTGCCCAGTCCCTATAATTGTCCCTGCCTTCCCTGTCTACCCCCCTGAAGTCCCCTGACATTAAATCTTTTGCCATGCAAAGGAGTTATCAATATATTTTCAATGTTGCATTCAAGGTTCTTTGAAAAATGATATAGTCTTTAAAAGTTTAGAATTTTTTATCCCCTTATAGCCTTAAATAGTAAAAAATACATGTAACCATTGATATGAAATAGGCACAAAGCTCATTTTTGGATAATTTTCTATAATTTGATCATTCTAACAAAAAAAAGTTTCTGTTACCCAAAGTAACTGAAAACAAAGTTCTCAAAAACCGTACCTCTATTAGTTCACTCAGTTTCCTCAACAGAAATTGAGAAAATAGGTTACTAACGTCTATGTAACCTCAATTTGACGTCACGTTATCGCATGTTTCTCCATGTAAATTTCTGCGCGTACTTCACTTTAAATGGTCATTCAAATCAATTTCACATTGGCGTAGGAGGGTAGCCGTTAACGTCCTTCTTTCTAAAATGGCTTCTTGATAAACATATTTAGACGTTTTTTGTTGTTATTGTTATTGCTCCGTATATTTTTTTTTATATTGTGAGTCCTACATTTCAATTTTTATATTTTTTGTGTGTTTAAACTGTCATGAAACACTCAAATTGCACTTGTAGAAGTGCTCTAAGCAAGACATTTTAAAAGTGAAACCAAAATTTGAAGTATACTGCGATAGATAATCACCAATGTAGATTTTAATGCAGCTTCATTCTTTTATACTGACAACACATTTGGAAAAAAAATGTTCAACAATGGCGAATCACATAATCCCACGGATAACTGAAACTTATTTAATGACAAGTGCACAGAACTTCACGACTTCAAAATTACAAAAGGAGTTTCAATGATTTCAGAATATTTTTAAACCATTCAGAATCTTTTTTTCAAGTGTAAAATTGTAAAAATGCTACAAAATTTACATGTGCTCGATTGTATGACAAAGATCTCTGTGTACTTTTATTACCTTTTACATGTTTTAATCTGATATAACAGAAAATTATAAATAAAGGTGTATCAAGGCATATATAAACTTGAAACAAAAAAAAAATCATTACAAAAGAAGCAAATGATAAAAAAGATCAACACACAGGTTTTGTAATGTTAGAATTTAATTTGAGCAATGTAATATCTGGTTAACTTTGTTTCGATGGTCAACAAAGCTACAGTGATTTTGAGGCAATTTCTGAGTTTGTTGTGAAATAAATCATTTGGCAGTGATAATCTTCATGCAAGTACAAGCCATTTAATTGAGGACTTAATTTGTATGCTCAAAATAACGAACTCCACAAATCAGCAATGCAGATACTAGCTACAGAATTACATGAGGGCCGCTGTGTTACAATGCAAAAGTCCATAAAATCTCGTAATTTGTTCATTTTTGCATGTAAATTTTAAACTTATGCATATTAAGAAAAGCATTTTAATGTAACCATCAATTGTCGCCCGGGAAATACGATAATGTAAAGGAGAGATTTGAATCAAACCGATGTATGTGTTAAAAAACACGTGAGTCTGAAATGGAGACGACAGTCAAAAATATTTGAAAACTTAATAGTCGGATGAAAATTGTAACAAAAATATACCCTTTTCAACTTCTATAAATTCCTGACATGAAAAGTTGGCTGCAAAAAATATAAATTAGATGGATAATATTACTTATTTTCAAAAATATATTTCACTTGTAAGAATATAAAACACGAATCTGTGTCAGAACGTTTTATGCGAGATTGATAAAACTCGATGTTCTAAAAAGGGGCAACTGTTTTTTTTTTTTATATAAGCAACTTTATGTATTAAATATGAGAAACTTGTATATTTTTAAAGATTCACTTTATGGTATTAATTATATAATGTATTCACAGTAACTTAGAAAGGAATAAAACATTCTGATTAACAATCTTTTTAATATTTAGCAAACCTTTAATTTTGAATATTACTTCTCTCACCCCAATCCCCATATACCAACACTTAAACTTATATGTATAGAGCAGCCCGGTCCTCCGGGCTGCATTGACAAATGTACATAAGAGTAGTAAAACTTTCAAAACGCAATGATGATTATTTTTCACTCTAGTTAACTTGTCCACAATTTTACCGGACAACCCTGTAAATATATACACACGGAAAGAAAAGATGTAGAGAAAAGGCTACATAATTTTTCGTATTCTATGTTACAACGCACTTTGAAAAAAATGTGGAAAAAATATTGCATCAAGTGCGTTAAAATTTGACCAAGCTAACGCACTTTGAATTTTTTTTTATGCAACAGTGATTGCGGTAAATAATATATTAACGCACTCTGAAAAAAATGTAAAGATTGATCAATATTCCTTCATATAATCGGTATGATAAATAACAGATACTGGTTTGATAACTTTTTTATGATAAAGTCACTGTAGGACCTGAGATATTGACATTTTAAATATTTAAGGTTTTGAAAAAATAAACGGGAAAATTAAAGGGTCGTTTCTAAAAAATGTACATTGTTTCTTTTAAAAAATCGTTTCTTCTTTTTTTTATTATTATTTCTTTGAAAAGTAAATGTAAAGGTGTATAGGGGGCACTAACATTCAGTTTGCGATTAGCGTTATCATAATAAAAAGGGGCAATTTGATTGTTCAAAACTATGAAAATTCTTTCTCTCTCATTCGTTTTACTGTACTTAAAAATTTCGTTTCCAATACTTTTATTCCTTTATTATTGAAAGTTTTCACGTCATACCAGTTAGGTAAATACATAATTATAAATGTTTTGAGTATAGCATAGACATCGAGACCTGGCTCTTCGCCACTTATTTTGGAAAGATATATACATCGTATAAGCATTGAAAATGCAGCGTACCCTTTTTGGATTTTTTTTTTTACACTTCCTTTTATAGTTAACCAAATATGAAACTAAACGGCATCACGTGTAAGGTGTTGAAAATTGTAGAACTTACATAAAAAAGTAAATATTTTTTTTCTGTATTTTCAGGTAAAAGAACAAGTCCTATCACTAACCCATCTACCACCACAACAACTGCCAATATTCCCACCACCACTTTGAAATGTAGGTATACTCAGGACATGATTTCTTCTTATATATATGTAAATGTTTAGTTACAAAATACTTTCTAAGATTTAATTATTATCCATCCTTTTGTCGCTGTATGTTATATAGCAAAGCCAGACAATGAATTTTCCCTCAAAATTACAAGGTAGATAAATTCACAGTAGTGGTACGGTTCTTTAGAATAAATTTTTATTTCACGTTTCCCAAAGTCGCCTAAAATATGTTTGTTTGTTTATTGTTTAACCTCCTCCTCAAGAATTTTTAACCCCGTGGGGATCCGGGTTTCCACAAGAAGACATCGTCAGAACCTTGCAAATTGTCGTAAAAGGCGAAAATTGCCCAATTTTAAATTTCAGTATGAGACCGTATAAACCGAGGCCCCGTGAAAAACAAAGGTGTGGCGCGATTAGGAAAATCCCTCCCTGCTCAAAGGCCGTAACGACAGAGCATAGGCCTAAATTTGCAGATATTCACCGGCAAGTGGTGACGTCACACAATTCTAATTTTTGGTTATTATTTGCCTCTTAAACAGTATGTAACTTTTAAAAAATGCATGTTTTTTTAACCCATATGGAAACGCCTATCATGATTTTGACACCTTCACTCGAAAATAGGGTACTGTTTTAAATTTCTTTCAAGGTACCGAGGTCGCACACTGGTTATGAATGTCGATCAACAGGTCTCAAGATAATTACAGCTCGTCGGCTCTTTCAGAGAGCAGCGAAAAAAAAAACAACCTTGAATATGTTATGTAAATGACAACCCCACTATTCGTTAACATTGAAATGACATGTAAGGGTCCTCTTTTGTGTATCTGTTTAGTCTGAAGCTAAAAGAGAAGGGAAAGAAACTCTGGAGAAATGTTAGCATACTATTCAAAATAAATATTTGATAATTTGCAAGACAAATAAATTATATAATACATTTAATGCACCAGAAAGTCGCTACATTTCGTAAAAAAATTAATAAGGTGATGAAATACGAATTGAAAAGTTGCAAGCCATTTTTTTTATCGAGTTAGGTCAGGCGACAACTACATTCAAACTCACAACCTTTCCAACACGAATACATTTATAATTTTAGTGTAAAGCAATTAAAGAATTTAAACTCAAGGGTGGTTCAATGTATTTCAAAACACGGCGTTAGACCAAACTACCTGGTATATGACATAGAATTCAAACTTTTGAGGAAAAAAGAGATCGACGTAAAACATTGGCTACATCAACCTTAAAAAAAGATTTTAATTTTTTTTAAATATTAAGATATTTTTTTGTAGAATGGCTTTCCAGAAACAGTATCTTTATTTTTAATGACTGTCTATTCCCGCTATTTTGTATTTAGGGACGGGTGAGCTAAACATGTACGAGAAGATCGTGATAGGTACGGGGGCGGGGTGTCTGGGACTACTCACATTCGGACTACTTCTGATCTGCTGCTGCTCCTATATACACAACCAAAACCAGAAAAGGTAACGTTATATGAACACATGTACATGTCTTAATATGTGATGACCTTCTGCTCCGCTTTTCACTTTTTATTCTCTATTCCCAACATTTATTTGAATGAACAATGAAGATATAAGATGAATGAGATACATGTACCAGGTTTTTCTTTTTCAAAACGGAAGAAAATGTTATATCATAATCTGAAAAACTTCAAGTGTTTTATAAGGATGAAATAACAAATACAGGATTTATCAACAGAAGTTATCTTTCTTTAACTTTTTTATTCTTTTAAATAGGAGAATAAAATTTAGTACTACGTTGTACTTTACTATACGTCTAGTTTTTAGATTTTCTATTAAATGGGATACACAGTAAATAATTATTTCATTTGTTTTGACTACTAGTATATTTTGCTCTTGAAAATTTCATTCTCACATAATTGTTTTTTCTTTGAGTGTTATCTCTTTTACCAAAGGAGCTTCCACTTGAAAGCGTTTTCAATCTAAAGACCTACAATGAATTTTGATTCTTAAACATGAATTAAAGTATATGCATTCTCACAAAATAATTTTTATCAATAAATTGGTAATATAATTTTTTTTTGGCAGAAAAGCAGCGAATCAGAGATCTTATTCACAGTTTGATCCGCCCCAGAAAGATCATCAGTACAGTAATGACTACATCAGACAGAGCGGTCCCTACGCCGACAGGATATCTCCTGGGGACGGGTATAAGTAAGTGTATCTATCACCCAACCCCCAATCTAAACCCAGGAGGGTGGGAATAAGTACGTGTATTACCCCTCCCAAATAAAACCCAGGGGGGACGGGTATAAGTAAGTATATTTATCGACCCACCCCAATCAACTTGCAGGGTAAGGGAGGGGTATAAGTAAGTGTATCATCCCCCCACCACAAACACCCAGGGGGACGGGTATCAGTAAGTGTATCACACCCCCACCCCCCATAAACACCCAGGGGAACGGGTATAAGTAACTGTTTCTATCACCCCCACCTCAGTCAACACCAAGGGAAAGAAAGTGTATCTATCACATCCCAACTCAATAAATATTCAGGGGGAGGGACGGGTATAAGTAAGTGTATTACCTCCACCCCCATCAACATTCAGGAGACGGGTATAAGTAAATGTATATATCACCCCCACCCCAAATCAAAAATAAGGGGTTGATAAGAATATCACTCTACCACTAATTAACAATAATAGGGGTGGATATAAGTAAATGTACTTGTAAGTGAATCTATTACCCAACCCCAATCAACAACTAAGGGGACAGAATATAGTAAGACTAGTGTACAGCATATGTCGCCCCACCCAAAATCATCACCAGGGGACGGGTATCAGTAAGTGTATCTATCACCCCGCCCCAATCAACACTCAAGGAGACGGGTCTAAGCGAACTTAAACAAGTATATCAAATTGTTAAGGATGTATCCTGCTGATAAAACATGCATTTAACTATCCAATCTTTAGCATTATTAAATAATTTGAAAAGATTACGTCGTAGAAAAATTCGTCTTAATGAGAAACAAGTCATCCTAAATATAGCAGGAATTAAAGCAGACGTATTTTTGGGATTTTTACATAGACAACCAAATCAATATAAAATGTTTACCAAAAAACTGGCTTTAAACTTTTCTTTAAACGTGTATGTATTTAAAAATAAATAGATAAACTACAAGTAATCACGAAGCAAATAGCTCAAAGGGGTTAGTGGGCAATAATATGCATATTTGATGGATGATGGATTATGATGTACATGTTTAAAGCTAGAAATTTCCGAAAAATGGCAGACACCTCAACACAATCATCTTTACAATTTTATTTGCAGCGGCTTTACTTATTTAACTCATGACTTGTCTTGAAATACTTTGATTATAGGAGACCACAAGGTGTTATAGATGATCCGGGTAGTTATCACGTGTACACCGGAAGGAAGGGAGAGACTGACGGGAAGTCAGCATATCACTATGAAAACCGAGCTTTCGAATCTCAGGATCAGAGTTATAACAGTTTACATCGGAAAGATCCGCCATATTGGTAAATAAACAATGTCAAAAAGCAGTAAATAAACTATGAAGTGAATGTATAAACTCTTTTGAAATATTGAAATATGACTTACATGACTGTATGTTTATGCTAAAAATCCGAATCCGAACTTGTAATGCTAAATTTGCTAAGGAATGTATTCGAAAGAGACACTTAATTGTTGATAATAAAAGATAATTAAAAAAATATCAATTTCTCCAGATCCCCTTTATTTTAATTTGTTCATTTAATTATTAAAAGAAACTTAATGTAATTACTTATTGATAGAATATTTTGGCTGATTCTGCAAGGATTATTTTTTTCGATTTGAAATTGCTACAAATGAAGCAATTGTTTTAAATGTAATCAGGCTTTAAAATTTATAGGGTGAATCATTCATTTTTCTATACGTGAGTATATTAGATTTTGTTTACTTAAAATAATGGAGCCAAATAAGTATTTTCCAAATAATTGATCACATTATCAAAGAGTGGTTTTATCACTAAGTAATTTGGTTTATATATCGAAGAACAAGTACACCTATGTCTTTTGTCGAAGTTTTATGCACTTTTATTTTTTTTGCAAGGTATTTCTTGTCTTCAATTATGCACAGTCTATTATATTACACAATTATTTAATTAATTAAAAAGACTGTTTTAGAAGTATATTTTTAAAAATGATAACTTTATTGATTTTATCATAGTTACAGGTATGTTTAAAATTCTTCAACCTTTTTAACATGTTTAAGTCCAAGCAATTTGTGAATTTGTGAAAAAAAAGATTTATTAATTAAGGTTTTTGAATGAAATAAAATGGGAGAGGACTATCTAAGTTTTTGGAACTTGTGTCCAATCCCTTTGACATATTGTCAATAAAATATGTTCAAAACAACAAAACAATAAAACTCATGTTTTAGATTTATTCCATTACGAGGGGTTATCAAAAAATTCGTAGACTAGTGCTATAAAATTAAAACAGCTTCAGTTACATCAAAGAATTTTGAAATATCTATTCAGCACCATCTTTTCTATCTAAAGAATAAAACATGAATCATAAATTTTAATTTTCAATAAATTAGTAATGTTTTTGTAAGCAATGGTATGTCCAGTCGGCGCAACCTCCAACACGACGTTTTTGCGACTTATGTGTGACTGATAAAACTCTTTTGATATGATCATTTGACATCCAAAAATCCCATTAATTCAGGTGTGTGTTGGGACACAATTGTTCCATAAGATATGAAATTTTTACTTCATTCTGGAAGTTCTATGAAATTTTATCGTAAATTTTACATGAAGTGTCCAAACAAATAAGGCCTTGAAAATGACGTCAAAAAAAAGGGGGGGGTCCTTTTCCAACATTCTATAAGGTTTTGCCCCTGAAAAACTGGTATAAAACCTAAGAAGTGTTTAAACTGGCTACAAACAAATGCATTCAGAGCACTTGTCTTTTAATGTCAAAATAGATTCAGAGAGAAAAGAAATGTACAGTTGATGTCGATTTGTAGTCAAGGTATGTAAAAATCAATCACGTTAAAAAATGACGTTGATCATGTGTCGTTGATATTGAATTCCAAAAGAAAAATATGCTGGAACAATCAAGCGAGGATCTCTCCCAATGTATATATACATTTGGAATATTATATTCATTGAAAGTCACTGTTCATGACATTGTAAAGTCATATAAGCAAGGCGGGTTTTTGTCCTTACTCAGCTCTAGCGAATCTCATCAAAATAAGCTTATGAGGTAGAAGCGGACATTGAAAAACAATGACGTAGTCGGACGTCATGAAACTAAACGGCGACAGTGATCATATAATGTCGTTTTTATTTCATAATAATTTGGCATAATAGACCCTTTCAAGGTTATTGGACGCCATCTTGGATTGGGGGCATCACGCGACATCGTAGCTAACGTAAACAATGGCAGCTGATGCAGATGCACCGCATCAATTTTCGTCTAGCGATCGCTTCACAGTCATTGTCATTTAGAACTGAATGTATACGCATTGTAAGCAACATATTTTATTCTAAAAAAGAACATTTTCTTTAATAATTGGTGTTTATTTACCTTAGATGAACTGCAATATTATAACGTGCATCATGTAAAACGTGCGGAGATGGAGTGCATATGTTACGTTACTATCTATCCTCTATCTTACATTTTAAGCATAAAATATTTGTGGAAATCAAAACAAAAGAAGGTTTCAGCATAAAAACACTCATTTACATTTTATCTTTTACTTGGATGATTTTTTAAAAATTAATTTCTTGAATATCTATACCACTAACGCGGGCGGATCCAAATAGGAATATTGAGAAGTACTGAATGAATAAAAGCCCATAAAAACATCTGTAAATAGACCAATATACTTAAAAAATAATATTTACTTTAATATAATGTTTTTAGCTATTTTATTGAGACAACTTGTAATATTATACAATGATTTAAAAATATGTTGCATGTGTATATCAATGTCAAAATTGCAACTTCAAAGTAAATAATTTATACAAATTTATTTAAACAGTAATTTTTAAAAAATAATTTTTATCATATAAAAAAAATTGTCTGTGTCATGTGCACTGTGTGTGTAAAATTCTGCTTAACTGTTAAAATTATTAAAATAAGGTTTACAATGCCTTTTACAATTTTTTGGACCTTAAAAGCTATACAAGATTTAGACTGTGTATTAACATTAATAGTACTTCAACAGTTGTAGCTTCTGACTAGTGATGCAAAGTCTCTGATTTGATACCTGGTTATCTAATGCTTAATTTCATCATTAACATTTATTAAAACATAAAACAATGTTAGTTTACCAGAATCAAGATGATACAAGAATCCAAATA